AACATATTCGATTAAAAAATAGCATTAATAAATCCAGAAAATCTCGAATTGGATTCGCATAAAAATAAGGCGAATCACTCGACTGTCAATCGTCAGCAAAATCAAATCGAGTTAAAACCGCCGATCGCGGAACAAATCAAATGACGTTCAATTTTGGGCCAGCAAAAAGCATCGGCGGATTTTTGTGCCGCTCAGCTTTTGGAGCGGCTAATTCAATTTGGTGGGAAAACCCGAAAACGTTAACTTTCAAACGGAACCTAATCCAATTAACCGGGCCGAGCGGCAGGAACCGGAGCACATGCAAATTATCCGATTCTGCCCCGTTCTTAATTAACATTTAAAATGCTTCAGTTTTTTCTCCTTTATTTTTCGTCCCCTTCGGTCGGAACCTTTTTGCGCGAAAACCACTCGGTAACCGCAGTTGTGGTGCGTTGGGTGGCTTTTGCGGTGGGTGGGGTGGTTCGCCATACCCACACCCACACTCACTCTGAAATCCATATACAGAAAGTTGCAAAATGTTAAATATTTGCAACACCTGAAAAATTGAATATTTTTCATTAAAAAGTTCGAAGTTCGAAGTCGACGGCAGCGGCTGCTGATGGGTGGAAAAGCTGTAAATGGGAGGATGTAAGAGGTTCTGTCTCAACCGCAGTCAATAAATAAACTTTGGAAAGTGCGTGGAAATGTATTCGCAGATTGAACCGAACCGAAGTGATGAGTGCGTGAGTGGAAGTGAACTACAATCGAAAAATATTTATAAATTGTTTAATAATACACAAGTTATTAATCTGTTAAAATGTCTTGTTAAATTGTTTCCAAACAAACTGCTTACTTTCTTCCTTTTCCTGACCATGTTTTCAAAACTTTTTCCATGTAACTTTCAACTTCTTTTTCTGTTGGCTCCTTTAAATATCTGATATATTTATCTGCTACTTACCACCTGGTTTTCCTTTCTCCTAAGCCTTTATTTGTTAGCCATGATTTGTTTCTTGTTCGTAACTTGGTACTTTTAACTATTTGCCTAAGCTTTTTGTGAAAGCTGCTGTCGCCACCGCCATCTCTTCGATTATTAGTTCTACTTACCACCTCCTCTTCGAATTTCCATCTGTACAGAGAGAAAAGTTGATCAGTTGAATGATTTTATAAGTTAGGACTAACTATTTATCTATTTAATAGTGTTTTGAAACCTTTTACGCAGGTGCTTAAAAGTATGCAGTCAAACGAATTCGAAATTTGTTGTAGCATACTTTTAGACATCTCTTCCAGAGCCTCTAATATTTGACCTATTTGTTCTTACTGTGTGCCTCCTTGCCAACTGGCGACTAAATCAATTTGCAAGCTTCAGTCACAGTCGCAGCTTTTCCTTTTCCTTTCTGGGAAAACCGCGACATGAAAATGGACGACAGCCGGTGGTGCTGTCGGTGGTTTTTCGTGGCGACGGCGGTGGTGGCACGTGTTGCGGGTAGCCGGCTTACAGCAGATGTGGATGTGGGCCGATGTCTGTTTAAAGCGCCATCATAATCAGCAGCCTCATCATCATCATCAGCCTCAGCTTGGAGACCTGCTCCTCCTCCTTTCCACATCCCCGCCCCAACTGGTCATGTTGTGCTTTGTTAAAAGGATTTTCACGGATTTCCGTTGTAATTTGAAAAGTTTTTTGTGCAACTTTTTTCATTAGAATCAGAGAGAGAGGCATAGGCGGAACGAAAGGTGGTCCCATCATCCCCCCTCCTGCAAAAAGGTAAATGGTAAATGGCTCGGCCGTGTTAGTTTTTGAAGTGGCCTGCCACGAGCAGCCGGCGAACAGGTGTTAATTGTTTTCAAGCTAATTTGCCCTGGCGATAATGAATTTTTCGCCTGGGCCTGAGCCTGGGCCCCCAAAAAAGAAGAAAATTATAATTAAATTGCTCTGAAAGCGACGCGGATTTCGAGAACTTTACCTAAGTCTCTTACAGACAGAGAAATAAGTTAGCGATTTATTCTTAAACTTTGTGCTTTAAACCTCACAACAAAGTTAAACCCAAATAAAAATCTTTATCGGTTATTTTTCTCTGCATACAAACTGCTCCACTTAAGTTACCTTTTCAAATTGTCTTTATCTCGGACTAGTCCGCAGTGGAAAGGGATTTGGCTGTATCCACTTGCTGGCTCTCCACTTTCAACTGTTGACTAAAAACTCCGAGGAACAATAAAGTTGCCAGTGCTCCACATCCCAGCTTTCCCTGGGCTAACTGCCTCCCCTCAGCAATTCCTTTGTCAACCTTGAAAAGGCGCGCAGGTGTGAAATGAGCGTGCGAAATGGAACCAGGCCTACTCCAAAGGGAAAGCGAGGGGCGGAAAAGAGGGAAAGCGTGTGTGGGAGATAATTGAATTTCTGATTTTAAGTGCTGTCGAGGCGGAGTCATCAGCAGAGGGTAGCTAAACAAGTCACAAAAGTGCAAATTTGGGCCGCAAAGTATGCAGCACTAAATTACGCATACGCCATGTGCTACCGCAACAGCAGCAGCAGAAATGGCAGTGGCAGTCGAGACCGGAACGTGTAAATTGTTTCAACTCGGCCTGCCGGAAAGTTTAGGTCCTGATGCCGAAAACCAAAAGCCGGGGGAAAGCTGCCAATTTGCCAAGTGTCCGCAAACAAAGCGAGACACACAAACCAAACGAGACAAACGAGCGAACAACAAATAGTTGTCAACACCAACGGTCGGTCAATGCGAACAGGGATTACTCTTTATGCAAATTAAATAGGTTATTATTAAAAAAAAAATAATAAATTAAATTAAAGGAGAAAAGCCGTATTTCCTAACTATTCAACGCCCTTTCCAACATAGCAAATGTCCCTGCTCGGGCGCCAAGTGTTTTTTCTAACGACTTTGATACAATGTGCTTTAAGCTTAGTCCTCTCCAGGGCTTGAGTTCTTTAATAATGTAACCAACTCGAACATATATCTGAATTAGATTTGAACAACAAACTGCTCTTCAAGAACTTGAATAACTTCCGAATCTCCTCAAAGAAAATTATTTCATTCCTTTCTCATTTGATCTGATTCCTTTTCCAGTCTCACTACACAAACATTTGTTATTATAATACGGCGTAGGTGTCGGTGTCCAATATTCAAGCCGTATTCCAAGCACCCGCCTGAGAGAAGTTCCTCCGACAACTTCAAGTGGCATTGTAAAAAGTTTTCCAGCCAGCTCATTTAAAATGCAAATGGAGGCCGCTTGTACACTGGCAATCGCTACGTCCACCTTTTGACTCACCTCCTCCCTCGGCGGCAAATTAGTTTGCAAGCAAAGAGAAACATAAACAGAACACGGCCAATATATCGCCCATTTGGGCTATAAATTATCCGGTATATCACTCCTGCAACGGGACTTTCATTCTGGCTTTCATATTCGGGATTTATTTCGGCCTCCTCCAGCGGCAGTCGTTGTGCCTATAATCCGCTTTGTGGACCAGCTGAACTTTGGCCTTTCAGCTCTTGCCCCTTTTTGTATATACCGAGCACAGAGGGCTGAGTGAGGGAAAGTCAGCAGTCGCACCATCGCTAACTTCTTAAGTGCAGTGCAACTTTTTGACACTTGAAATTGAGTTTTGCGGTGTAATTGCATTTTATTTGCCAACTTCAACCGAGGGAACCAAACAAAAGTCGCAATCCAATCCCATTCCCATTGCCATTCGGAATCGGAATCCCCATTGCACTGCCATTGTAGCTGAAAGTACGATGCTGTATCTGTCTGGGTAGGTAGCGAAAGAGGTGTCATCAAATTTGCATGGATGGCGCCGAGGTGGCTGGATCTCAAGTCAAGTGGCGATAATCGCAATCTTTGGCTCGCCCGTTATTTGCGCCACACCCATTTGCAACCTTACATGGCCATACACAGTGAGAAAATCGATGTACTAAAAATAAATAACATTTAATTTAAACTTAAGGGAAGATACGTATTTTCTGACTATCCAACGCTCTTTCTAATATACCAAATATTCCTGTTCGGGCGCGAATGGCTTTTCTTTTTTCTAACGATTTGGATATTTTTTTGTGTGCAAAAGAATTGAATTGAATGATTTTCGCAAATGGATTGCCCGTCCGGGGTGGAGGGAGCAGAAGAGTAATGAAGGGGGGCTGTAAGTTTGTGCAAACTGCAGTTTGGCAGCTCATAAAATCAACTTTTACCATTCCATTCCACTCGCATGCAGCTTTCCCGTGAATTTTCATGGCGGTGGGGGTGCGGATGAGGGCCAGAAAATTAATTACAATTTTTTGAATGGAGATGGAGACCATTGAAAGCGGTTGGGAATGAGGATGAGGAACAGCAATCAAATCAAATTATTTTCCATTGCAGCTCAATACGGGGAAACGAAAACGAAACCGAACCGAGCAAAAGGCCAGCCGGAGAACAGGAAAGGGAAAATCAACCCGGGTGTATTATGCAAGCCAAGGCAGAAGCAGAAAACTTCCGACTGCTCTAGAAATGTTTAACAAATGCCAAGGCGGGCATTTCAATTTCAGACTGCGGACGGCGGACTGACTGACTCAATGCAGCCATAATTAAGAGTGTCCTCGCTGTCAGCTTCGCCATTGTTCTCGATTTTCCCCAGTTTTCCCACTGAAGGCAATGCGAATCGACAGCTGTCCTTCTGGCAGCTCGAAATCTTCTGCCAGCGAGATAAATGAATTTTTCATTAAAACAGTTGCAAATTATTTAGTTTCATGTTGGGCATTAATTTACATAATTTAAAGTTAAACTTTCCCAGCACAGTTTTCAATTGCCACAGCTTGTTGCTTGTGCTTCGCTTTTCTTTTTTATGAATGAAATTTTGGCGCGCTTTTCCTGGCGCAGGCGCAGTACAAATTCCGAGAGCGGAGAGAGAAGCCGGTTGAATGTTGATGATGGAAATTGAAAGCCCAGCCTCCGTGGAGCAGGCGAGATGCCCTTTCAATCTGCGATTCGTCAGACAAAAGCAGCGCGACTTTGACGGCGGCCAACAGTTGCGGTCTGGAGCTCGTCGGTTGCAAGTCGCAATCTTTTGGAAATCGCGCATAAATAAACCGTCGAGAAATCAAAGCCAAAAGCCTCCTTCGTCGTCGTGCAAAGTAAATAGAAATAAAAATAAAACAAATTAAATTATGGCTTGAATGTGTATGAAATGCCAATAAATTGTCATTTGTGTGTCAGTGTGTTAGAGTGTGTGCCCCGTGTCGTATACGCAATATTTATGAATGCAATTTCCTACGACCGAGCAGAGACAATACATCGTAATACAATCGTAAGCCCAGCTTATCGAGCTTGCTAGTTAAGTGAACCCGAAAAAGCGGATCTGCATTGTCTGCGGTAATCCCTGTGGAAATCCCCCAAGCGATTTTCCCAGCAGCTTGCAGCTGCAGCTGAGTATTGGCTGCATAACAAATCGCATCAGGCATTCTGACATCGCATCTCGGTTGGCATCTCTGGATCTCTGAATGGCCAAAGTGCTCAGTGCACACTCCATATCAGCATTTCTTTCCTTTCTTTATTTTTTTGCCACCCGTTCGCCAGCAGTTGCAGTTTGCATTTCACAGTTTACACACGACGAGCAGCGAAATATGGAATCTGAATCACAAATGCAGCCAGCATTTTGCATAATTTATGTCAAGCATGAAAATAACAACTAAAGCGGGCGATGGCCAGAAAGGGGATGTGGAAGGGGAGTGGGTGGAGATGTGGGAGCTGAGGGAGCCGTCACACACACATGGCCATAAATAAGTGCAGGTTTAAATACCACGGCAACAATTGTGAAATATGGCAGAATAATAGAAAGGACCAAAGCAGCGCAGCAGCTAAATATTCATATACTCAAATGTACACTGCACTGGGAGAAAATTGCGGAAAAAAGGGATAGAACCGGATGATTATAGCGTGAATAGCATTTAGTTCTTCTAACTATATTTTAAAACTATTTTTATTATTTTGAAGCTGAGTTTATCCGTCTGTTTGATTTTAAAAACTTCTCTGGATTTTAAAAGCCAATAAAACCTTATTTATCCTTAACTACAAAATGCATAAAAATCAAATAAACTGGAGGAAAAATTAAATAAAAATTCAAACTACAAAAGTCATTCTCTTTTTTTATTTATATAAAAAATAACTAATTGGTGCAATAAATTTGTTGTCTTTAAAATAAATTTGGTGAATAAAATAAACGTATATCTTCATAAATTATTTTACAGTAATCAATAGCAGATATTTCAATTTTGTTCAAGTGTTTTTCCCGGACCCATTTTTTTGTCCGCAATGTCAATGCACTAAATTAAACTCTGTTTGAAATATGAACGCATTAATTTTAAAGTCATTTCAGTTTATACACTTATGGATACTTTATTGTGCAATGCTGCATTTCAATTTGAATAATTTCATTTCCAAACTAAGCTGTCAATATTGATAAAAAGATAAGCTAGCTTAAATTTCGTGTTGTTCTAGAGAATTTAAATTGAATACTGAATTGAATTAAAGCCATTATTATTATTGTCTTCAACACGTTGCAGCTTATCAATTTTAGTAATTACATTTTCAGGCTGAGCTGCCGAAATTAAATCAAATGCGGCAGACAACTAGTTTAATCGATAACATAATCCAAACATTTCGTGCAACTTGTTGTTGGGGATTTAAGTTTCCTAACTACTTGGCAACTTGTGAACAGTATTTCCATGTTTTTCTTCGATGTAAGGTATTAAATTGAAAGCCACAAAGAAAGTTGTTCCTAGCTTTTCTTTTCTTTTTGCCAGTGCATGTACAAATATGAGTTGTTAGTTACACGAGTAGCCCAGTGCAAAAGGGGGGCAAAGAGCGGAGGGCAAATGTCAACTGTAGGCGGTGCACCCAGGGGTTAAGCAGTGCCAGCGAGGGGTTAAGTGGGGCTGGAGCCCCCCTTCGGGGCACGCCACTGTGTTTTCTGAGGACAAAACAAAGCGAGCCAACACAACGAAATGGGCCAAAAAGTTATTTTAAGCGAACAGCGAAGAGAAAAAGAAAGAAAGAAAGCAGAGAGCGCGAAAGAAAGCGTCCATAAAGTGGTCTTAGTGGGTGGTTGGAAAAGCGGGAAGGCGGAAAAGCGGGGAAAAGGGACTGCAAGTTGGTAATCTCGAAACAATTATGCATACGCGCGCATACAGAGAGAAACGTTCACTAAAATCTGTGGCGCGTGAGACTCGACTCGACAAAAAAGTAGCCCAAAAGCCCGCAATGAAAGCGCAAAATGTTTGGCCATTAGCATAAAAAATAATGGCCACACAACAACTGAGGGATAGGGTAGGGCAAAAGTGGGGAGCAGCGTGTCCATTTCATCGAAGACTTCGTCTTAATCCTTTTCAACTGGCAAATTGGCGTGAAAATGCCTCTTGGGGCTCCCCAGGCATTTTGATTTGGTTTTTCCGTGACCATTACCTTTCACATGGAGAAAAATCAATGTATTTACAAAGGGAAAATTTTATGAGTTCTCATTGTTCATTAAAAATCACAGATTAAGATTGTTAAATAAAAAGATATCACTATCCATACCATCGATCGTTTTAAAATTAGATTAAACAACATTAATTTGCTGCAACCTAAAATTATTTATTAAATAAATTAAAAGTGCTAAGGGCTAAATATAAAAAAATAAATTTAATGTGTTAAATGTGAAAGTGAATTATATAAAAAAGCTGTTAAATCACCATAATAATTCGACATAAATTAACAGATTTGTTTTAACCCATACTTAGTTATAAACTTTCCTGGAATACCTGACTACCCAAAATAAAATTTTACAGTGTAATTTCTTTCCGTGTCAACCAATCCTGTCAATTCGAGGACCCATCGAGAATCTCCTCAGCATTGCATACTTTTATGGTCGACTGCTTGGCAGAGTGAGTGTGTGAAAAAGGCAACAGAGCAAAAAGATACAAAATGCGAGGAGCAAAAGTGAGGCCAATAAAAAGGCGATAAAATTGACGCCGATACAGGAGGAAGCAGGAGGAGCAGGAAGAGCAACGATAAGCGTATCCTGTCGGCAGAGTGCATAAAAAGGCGATATATATTCCGGTATACCGTGTTGTTTGTTTTTCGTTGTTGCTGCTGCAGCCCCTGATAGCCAACGATTCAAATGCCTTGGTGATTAATGGGCCATTGGCCATTGCCGACGGGATGCGCATAACTCAACTCGGCCAGAGGACCTCGGCCAGATACGGCCAATGGCCCATGGCCGTGGGACTGAGGTTACTACTGGCCCTCGCCTGGACAACGGCGGCTGCGGCGGCCATGGAGTCCTCGGCCGAACTCCAGGCCCTGGGCTACGAGGCAATTAGGCCAGGTGGCGCCACTGCTGCCTCAATTAGCACCTTCGCATCCACATTCACATCCAGTTTGCCAGAACCCGGAGAATCGACATCGAGTGGGGGTCTTTCGATTCCCCCGCGCTCCGACTGGAAGTACAAACGGACGAAAGTCAAGCGCCGGCAGCAGCGCCTCAATTCGTACAGCAATCTGCCCGGGAGCACCAATGCCTCCTCGCACTCGCACCACATCCTCAACCTGCCGCCCAGGCAGCGCTACCTGAAGGTCAACCAGGTGTTCGAGGACGAGCGCCGCATGTCGCCGGCCGAAATGCAGCGCAATCATGGAAAAATCGTGCTGCTCGGACTCTTTGAGCTCTCCACGTCGCGGGGACCACGTCCGGATGGCCTGAGTGAACTGGGAGCAGCCACCATGGCCGTGGAGCACATCAACCGCAAGCGCCTGCTGTCGGGCTACACCCTGGAACTGGTGACCAACGATACTCAGGTGGGTAAACAGTCGAGTGTCTCAATGCCCCACAGTGGGCGCCAAGTTGTATGCGTATGCCCCACGTTGGGCGCCACTTCTCTAGGCGGCGGCGGCGGCAAAGGCGGTTGTTCCATTACGAAATTGAATTTTCATTTAGTAGCGCGTGCAACATTAAAACTTAATAAGAAAATCTGCAGCAACAAGAACAGAACGTAGCCGAGCAGCAGCTGCGGTTGCGGCCCTAAAAAAAAGAGGGGCAAATATGTCATCAACGTTCCATCCTGGGCGCTTTTATTGCGATGAGTCGTTGCCGCTTTTGATGGGGCACGCAAATGTACAAAAACAGGGGCACTGAAGAAAATTTAAAGGCTTTTTGTTCAATCTATTTATAGAGGTGCTTAAAAGTATGCAAGAAAATATTTTTGTAATTTTATTCGAATCAAATCAAATATGGAGAATAGAGGTATGACCTCGTCGAGTTCGTAATTTCCAATCGATTGGCATTGAAACCTTGCAACTTTAATTTTATTCGACTTTTTTTCAAAAAATGTCCCTTTTTAAATTATTATTTTATTAACTTTTTAAATCTTTTTAAAAGAGTTCTAAATAATTTGTCAAAACAGTCCGTCTTTTTGTAATGGCAACTCTTCCAACAGACTTACGATAAAAAAAACTGAAAGGAGCACCGAAAACATTTTTTTTTTTAATCCGATTGATTCCCTATATTTATAAGCCATTTTTTTTAAGTGTGTGCATATGCACATCGAGCGAAACAGACAGTCATATCTGGAGCCGCATCTCCGGCTGTGCCTCTATCAAAGTCGACATTTTAAAAATGTTTATTGCGCCATCTTGCCGCTTTTTTATGGCGGCGAAACGAGTCGGTGAACAACGGCCTTTGCCCCCGTTTACTTGCCCTGCCCCACCTAGCTCATCTCTGATGTGGAGCTTCCTCTTCTTACCCCAATCAGTGTGATCCTGGAGTGGGAGTGGATCGCTTCTTCCACGCCATCTACACACAGCCATCGACGAGGATGGTGATGCTGCTGGGATCGGCCTGCTCGGAGGTCACCGAGAGTCTGGCGAAGGTGGTTCCCTACTGGAACATCGTGCAGGTGAGTCCATTGATTAAAATGCAAATACCCACCTAGCTCATTTGGTTCATCCAAGCATCTCCCCGTAATCGGGCAATTTCTCAAAAATCTAATCAACTCACGTGCGTGGCGCGATTAGCATAAATGCTGCGGAATCCAGCACCCCATAAACCTTTTTAGCCATAAACATTTCCACAGCCCGCAAATTATGAGGTCCACAAATTCACTTAGAGCATTTGCATTTGGCCTTTGAAGTTTCATTTCGGTTGTGCGTTGCGTGTGTTAAATGAATGGGTGGGAAGTAAGCGGAAGACACATGACCTGGGGCTGGATTCCTAGAAGCATGTTTTGCATTTTAAGCGACCCCAGCAGATACGAAAGATAGTCTAACGATTTCCTTCGATCGAAAAGGTCTCCTTCGGTTCCACATCGCCGGCGTTGAGCGACAGAAGGGAGTTCCCCTACTTCTACAGAACGGTGGCCCCGGATTCCTCGCACAATCCGGCGCGCATCGCTTTCATCCGGAAGTTTGGCTGGGGCACGGTGACCACTTTCTCGCAGAACGAGGAGGTCCACTCGCTGGCGGTGAACAACCTGGTCACCGAACTGGAGGCAGCCAACATATCCTGTGCCGCTACCATCACCTTCGCGGCCACCGACTTCAAGGAGCAGCTGCTGCTACTCAGGGTGAGCTGCTCATAAATAGCACAAGGGCTCTTAAGTACCAGCAATAAATGCCAAATGTTCTATGATATTATAGCACATTAAGGGTTTTCTTAGTTTATAAATCTCAGTTGAACATATATGAAATTAAAACTATTTCTGTGAAAGAAAAACTACTAAACGCATTATCTACTTTTACTACTAGAAAAGCTATAGTTTATATTTAAAAGCCTTTGAATGAACCAATCTTATTAATACAACTTATTTTCATCATGTTTCATTTAATTTAATTTTTGTATTGTAGATTTGTAAAGCTTATAAACTTACAAAATAGTAGTAGTATTTCATATAGATTTTTTTGTGTATATAAATTACTACAATTTTCTGTTACTTTCATTTTTTAAGAGCTTCTTTCTTTTCACATTAGAAAAGTAATTTTAACGTTTCAAGAAAATTACCTTATACCATTAAAAATATTCTTCCCCTAATTTTACCCACTTCCCTTAGTTTCAAGTTTTGGTTTAAGACTCCACTCGCATGGATAAATGTTTCATCATTAGCAGACCATATCGCCCAGAGCTCCCTTTACAGCGCATGATTGTTACCCATTTTTTTTGTTGAGTGTGGGCGGGCAGAGCAGGGTGTGCTAATCGAAGGATGACAAATGACAAATGGGCAAATGCCGCTCCATTCCGTTCCATTTCGTTCATATCGCCACAGGAGACGGACACGCGCATCATCATCGGCAGCTTCTCGCAGGAACTGGCCCCCCAGATCCTGTGCGAGGCCTACAGGCTGCGGATGTTCGGCGCGGACTACGCCTGGATCCTCCACGAGAGCATGGGCGCCCCCTGGTGGCCGGACCAGCGCACCCCTTGCTCCAACCACGAACTGCAGCTGGCCGTCGAGAACCTCATCGTGGTGTCCACGCACAACAGCATCGTTGGAAATAACGTCAGCTTCAGCGGATTGGTAAGTTTAAGGGCCCTACACGGGGAGAAAAATTTTATTTTTAAAATTAGAGGGTCTATTATTCAACCTAGAGCAGAAATTCAGAATAAATCCTTTTACAAATCAGGGTATAAAAAATAATGTTACAAATTCAAACACAATTTCTTGAGAGTTTTATTTTAGGTACTTGAAAAATTGCTTTAGTTTTAGATCCTAAAATAGTGGAAAAATATTATTTAAATAAAATATTTTTTAAAAAATGTATATAATATTATTATCTATTTATAATTTATTATCTTTTTAGTATTAATATAAATTTAAAATATGTATTAAATAGTATTATTTAAATTATAATTATTTAACATACTTACCTTCTTCAAGTATTTTTTTGTAGAACCGCATAAACTTTTTCTTTCAGCGCTTTTTCTTTATAAACAGACTGTCTTGTCCTGGTCCTTGTTATGTTTTTTTTGCTCTGTCCTTTCCGCGCTCGTCCAAAATGAAATGATTTATTTGATTAGACAATCCCGAGGCTGCGATTGCGTTTTGCGATGGTTTCAGCGATGGCGATGGTGATTGCCAAGTGGTCCGCCTAAGTCCTGCCTGTCATCGCATTCGCATTCGGTTTCGCCATTCGCAGACGCGTTTTTATGGCTCTTTTAGTGCTGGTCATGAAAATGTGGGATCTGAAAATCCGAAATGGGAAGCTGAGGGGAGGCAATCTCATTACTGGCGGCATTCCTGCGGCATTCGTGGCCTGTTTAATCGCCTTTCCACTTCGCAGAACAATCACATGTTCAACTCGCAGCTGCGCAAGCAATCCGCCCAGTTCCACGGCCAGGATGGATTTGGTTCCGGTTCTGGCTCCAGGATCAGTATCACTGCACCGCAATCGGAAGGCCGCCGCAGGAGGAGGATGCGACGGGGCGCGGGGGGCAGCGGGGGAGCAGGAGGAGGACACCTCTTCCCGGAGGCCATTTCGCAGTACGCACCGCAGACGTACGACGCCGTTTGGGCCATTGCCTTGGCCCTGCGAGCCGCCGAGGAGCACTGGCGGCGCAACGAGGAGCAGTCGAAGCTGGACGGATTTGATTACACCCGCAGCGACATGGCCTGGGAGTTCCTCCAGCAGCTGGGCAAGCTGCACTTCCTGGGAGTATCGGTGAGTATCTGATCTCTTCTAAATAATTCCTAAAAAAAAGTTTAAATTCTTCAGAATATTATAAAAAAAAAAAAGTGTTAAATATTGTATGAAAAATATTACAAGAAATCTAGCTAGTCTTTAGTGGTCTAAGGTTCAGTAAAATAAACACAATTTTTTTATGGCGTTTATGAATATGAAATTGAAATCAAAACAAGAAAGGAAGCTAGCTTCGGCCAGCCGAAGCTTATATACCCTTGCAGATCATTCCTATTAATTAACAAATCGCAAAAATGTTCAATTTTCTAATATTTCTCATTAATTTTCCGATCGTTCCTATGGCAGCTATATGATATAGTCGTCCGATTTTGATCAAATTAAAATTGAAATTCGGAAATATTTAAAAAGAGTCATATCCTAGAGTAGAAGATAATACAATAAAAACCAAAGAAGCTAGAATTTATTTCCTATTACTTTTCCATTAATTTTCCGATCGCTCCTATGGCAGCTATGTGATATAGTCGTCCGATTTTGATTAAATTAAAATTGAAATTCGGAAATATTTAAAAAGAGTCATATCCTAGAGTAGAAGATAATACAATAAAAACCAAAGAAGCTAGAATTTATTTCCTATTACTTTTCCATTAATCGTTCCTATGGCAGCTATATGATATAGTAGTCCGATTTTTTAAATAATTAATTCGAAATTCAGAAATATTTCAAAAATAACATCCCCAAAAGTAGAAGGTAATATTTCAAAAAACACCGAAGCTAGAATTTTTTAAAGTTTTTTTTTTCCGATTGTTCCTATGGGAGCTATAAGATATAGTTGTCCGATCCGGTCGGCTCCGACATATATACTACCTGCAATAGAAAGAAGACTTTTGCGAAAGTTTTGTCCCGATAGCTCAAAAACTGAGAGACTAGTTTGCGTAGAAACAGACAGACGGACAGACGGACAGACGGACAGACGGACAGACGGACATGGCTAGATCGACTCGTCTTGTGATGCTGATCAAGAATATATATACTTTATGGGGTCGGAAACGTCTCCTTCACTGCGTTGCAAACTTCTGACTGAAATCATAATACCCTCTGCAAGGGTATAAAAAGGGAACGAAATCAATTTATGAATCACGTAATTATCCTAGCTAAGTCTATTATGGTCTAAAATTTAGTAAACTAAAAACAATTAATTTATTAATATGAAATCTAAATCTAAAGAAAAGTAAGGACATCTCTTAATGAATCAAAAATTATTTTGGTATTATCCTAAAAATCTGAAAATATATATTCTGTATTATAATAATTAAATTTTAGCATTAGTCTATTATCATTTATTTTTCTGTGTGTAGCCCTGAAAAAGATGCAAATCTAAACCAATTTGGGGCGCTACATTTAAAAACCCCTAAAGAGTCTATGGCCTTCCCCTGCTAATCATAATTTTTCATTATTCATTATTTTTTTAGGGTCCCGTTTCCTTTAGCGGCCCGGATCGCGTTGGCACCACTGCCTTCTATCAAATCCAGCGCGGTCTCTTGGAGCCGGTGGCCCTCTACTACCCGGCGACGGATGCCCTGGACTTCCGGTGCCCGCGCTGCCGGCCGGTGAAGTGGCACAGCGGGCAGGTGCCCATCGCCAAGCGGGTGTTCAAGCTGCGGGTGGCCACCATTGCCCCGCTGGCCTTCTACACCATCGCCACCCTCTCGAGCGTGGGAATCGCCCTGGCCATCGCCTTCCTGGCCTTCAATCTGCACTTTCGCAAGCTCAAGTAAGGCGGAAGAGAACATAAATCATTGGCGAACGAGTGATTTTATGGCCTTTATATATTTTGAATATTTTATTTTCCATTAAATACCCATAAAATATTTAGAGGTTTTATAAGAGAGAGGAGCTTTTCTTTGCTTATTATCATAAAAAATCAGAGTGTCCTTTCGGTAAACCTTTTAGTTCTAGATGGGTCCTTATAAGCTACCCATTTCCGATTTTAATTTAATTAGTTTTGAATTTTGAATGTTTTATTTTCCATTAAACACCCATCAAATATTTAGTTGTTATACCTATGAAGAGATATTCTTTTTCTCCTTTCGATAATTCTCTTAATTCAAGATGGTATTAATTTCTGATTTTTAATTGAACAAATTGATTGGCTTAACTTATTTTTCTTCGACTCTTCAGTTATATATCGCTGCTTACTTGGCACTTTTTCCCGCTGAATGGTTGGATCAACTCATAACCATGACCGTCTACCATCTCCCACTCCCTCTCCACAGAGCAATTAAACTTTCCAGCCCCAAGCTGAGCAACATCACCGCAGTGGGCTGCATTTTTGTGTACGCCACCGTCATCCTTTTGGGCCTGGACCACTCGACGCTGCCCTCGGCGGAGGACTCCTTCGCGACGGTCTGCACGGTGAGTTGTTGTTATCCTTCGGCTCCGAAATCCCCATCCCCATCCGCATCATCATCCTCGGCATTTCTTCTTTGTTTGACTTTGACGGGTTTCTGGTGTGTATGCAAGCATGTGGGGTCCTCATCAAATATGACTTTCAGTTTCAGGCTGGTAACTTTCGAGTCGCGTTCATGTGTTTGCTTTATTTATGCAGTGAAAGAAATGTTGGTTGTTAAGCATAAAACTGTAATCACCATAATTTTACTGTTTGATTGATTTGTTAAAATGTGAACAGCTTTTGTATACTGTAAGTGTGCCGGCAGAGCTCAGGCAGAAAAACTCCTACTGGTCTTGTTTAGTGTTATAATCATTTTCTGAAGTAGTGCGTTTATAAAAGTGGCATATTAAATGCTATAGTTAAGGTCATAGCTAAAAATAATTAGAGAAAGGTTGAAGCTTAGTTCAAAACTGATTTTTTCCAGTGTATTTTCAAGAAGCTCGACTGCCCCTGCTGGCTATAAATAGCCGTCGGATTTGGTTGCAAATCTGCTGCTCTTTAAGCTAGAAGCCAAGTCGAGTTTGACGAGCTTTTCATCCAGATCTGCAAAAACCTCACACAACCGCCCTCCCTGGTTTTTCACTTTTCCCCCTTAACAACTGCCTCGAACGCCACTCCTGGGAAATTTGCTGGTCGCTGTTGTTTCTGTAACCATTTCTCCTGCTGTTTCGCTTTTCCAGTTGCCTGTTTGTTTTGCAGGAGGTGGAAAAGGGAAAGGGGCTGTGGTTAAGAGGCAGGGAAATGCAAACACATGACACGAAAATTTACAACTTTTGTGATATTCCTTTATTTGCATAAATTTGAAACGCACAACAAAGTCTGCATCACCACTCCTCGGAATTGCGGTGGAGGTCCATTGATGACTTGTTTTCCATTTCCCCCATTGTTGTTGCCTCGGGTCTTGTTTTCTTTTTGTCTGCCTGACATGACACTTAGTGTGTGTACACTGTACAGTCTTACCTCATCCGCTTATCTTGCTCGGCAGGCCCGCGTCTATCTGCTCTCCGCCGGATTCTCTCTGGCCTTTGGATCGATGTTCGCCAAAACGTATAGAGTTCACAGGATCTTCACCAGAACGGGCAGTGTTTTTAAGGACAAGATGCTGCAGGACATCCAGCTGATCCTTCTTGTGGGTGGACTGCTCCTGGTGGATGCACTACTCGTAACCCTTTGGGTGGTCACCGATCCCATGGAGCGGCATCTTCACAACCTGACGCTCGAGATCAGCGCCATCGACAGAAGTGTCGTCTACCAGCCGCAGGTAAAATACCAATATTTAAACTAATATCGCCTTTAATTAATCTGTGAAAAATACTCAGCCATGTGAAAAATGCTTAAATTAAATATTAGTATCAAAGCAATTATTCATTCGATTTAATCGGCTTTTAATTGGCATGCAGTGTATAGTTTTAGTCTGCAAACAAAAATGTCGCCAATTGAAATTAAACATTCAAAAGCAGTCGTACACCATTTGGTTATATTTGCTTATCATATAAATGCATATGCAAAAAAGCTAAATATTATTTGTCGTGCCTATTATTTATTCAATTAAAGCCGATTTCGATTTAAACGCTAGATTTAACAGTGTAAAGGGAAAAATAGTTTCACTTTATCCAGGTCACCCATTCTTTATATATTTTATTGACACATTAATTGCTTGCAGAAAATAAATAAATATTGTACGATAAAATATAGTAATAATAGGAATACCTTAAAAAATAGTATTATGGTGGTTAAGCATTTTCCGTAATATTATTTTTATTTTATTATTGTTTTCAGGTGGAGGTTTGTCGTTCGCAGCACACGCAAACGTGGCTAAGTGTCTTGTATGCCTACAAGGGTCTGCTCCTAGTGGTGGGTGTCTATATGGCCTGGGAGACGCGCCACGTGAAGATCCCGGCCCTGAACGATTCCCAGTACATCGGCGTGTCCGTCTACAGTGTGGTCATCACCAGCGCCATTGTCGTCGTTCTGGCCAACTTGATTTCGGAGCGAGTTACGCTGGCCTTCATCACCATCACGGCCTTGATTTTAACCAGCACAACTGCTACGCTTTGCCTGCTCTTTATCCCAAAACTCCACGACATCTGGGCGAGAAGTGAGTATACGTCGCATATCTAAGTACACAGAAAAAAATTTACAAGAAATGATGATCGATTCGCTTTAATTCCATATTGATTTTATAATAGTCATCATATAATTTTAGTCGCCATCTTCATTTTTGCTTCCTTTTCGATTACAGAGAGTTTTGAAGAGAGTTATTTCAGTCGCCATCTTGAGTTTAGTCGCCATTTTGAATTTGCTCTCTTTATTGATTTCTGAGAGTTTCGAAGAGAGTATCTATAACCGCCATCTTGGTTTTGCTCTCTTTTTCGATGTCGAAAAAATTCGATTTTCGATTTCGGCTGTTTTGAAGAGAGTAATTTTAGTCGCCATTTTTAATTTATGTTCTTTTTTTCTATATATCTTATATTATGATTGATTACTCTCAAGGCATGTATACATTTTCTTAGATGCCCAGTAATTTCATTAACCAACAATTTTTTTTTTCTTCAACCTCTAATCTTCTCCCTTAGACGATATAATCGATCCGGTTATCCACAGCATGGGTCTGAAGATGGAGTGCAACACACGGCGATTCGTGGTGGACGATCGCCGAGAGCTGCAGTATCGCGTGGAGGTGCAAAACAGGGTGTACAAAAAGGAGATTCAGGCTCTGGACGCCGAGATCCGCAAGCTAGAGCGACTTCTCGAATCAGGCCTTACCAACACCTCCACAACGACTTCATCCTCCACATCGCTACTAACCGGAGGAGGTCACCTGAAGCCCGAACTGACGGTCACCAGTGGGATTTCGACCCAAACTCCGGCAGCCAGCAAAGCCAGAACGCCCAGCATCTCGGGAATACTGCCGAATCTTCTGCTCTCCGTGCTGCCACCGGTGATTCCCCGGGCCAGTTGGCCCTCGGCGGAGTACATGCAGATCCCGATGCGGCGATCGGTGACCTTTGCCTCCCAGCCGCAACTGGAGGAGGCCTGTCTGCCGGCACAGGACTTGATTAACCTGCGGTTGGCCCACCAGCAGGCCACGGAGGCCAAGACGGGCCTGATAAATCGGTTGAGGGGGATATTTTCGCGAACCACTTCGAGCAACAAGGGATCCACCGCCAGTTTGGCGGATCAAAAGGGTCTGAAGGCGGCCTTCAAATCGCACATGGGTCTGTTCACCCGCCTGATTCCCTCCTCCCAAACCGCCTCCTGCAATGCCATCTACAATAGTCCGAATCCGGACTCCAACGCACCCGTGGATCCGTCCACTCATCACCCACAGAACGGCACTCATCTGAAGCCCATCCACCGGGGTTCCCTGACGAAGAGCGGCACCCACCTGGATCATCTTACCAAGGATCCCAATTTCCTGCCCATTCCCACCATTTCGGGGGGCGAACAGTTGGCCGAACAGCACTTAGGTGGCAAGTATGTGAAGCTGCTGGAGACCAAGGTGAACTTCCAGTTGCCCAGCAACCGGAGACCCTCGGTGGTGCAGCCGCCTCCCAGTTTGAGGGAGCGGGTGAGGGGCTCGCCGCGCTTTCCCCACCGCATCCTGCCGCCCACCTGCAGTCTGAGTGCCCTGGCCGAATCCGAGGACCGTCCCGGCGACAGTAGCTCCATTTTGGGCAGCTGCAAGTCCATACCTCGCATCTCCCTGCAACAGGCCACCAGCGGAGGCACCTGGAAGTCCATGGAGACGGCGGCCAAGTCGAGGCTTTCCCTGGGAGATTCGCAGGAGGAGGAGCAGCCGACGCCTTCTAACGGCCTGGATTAGAGATAAGAAGGTCCCCCAGTCCAAGTCCAAGTTAAAGTCCTCGTCAATTAGAAGCGAAACACCAAGCAATTATTTAACGACACGCCCACGAAATCTGCCCCCCAGAAAAAAGCGCGTGTGCAACTGACCAATCATCGGCTTAAAGCAATCAAACGCATTAGGGTAAAACGCTAGATAAGTCACGATAGGAACCACCCCTCCTAACCATAGCTAGTCATCTCTTCCTGAGTCCTTAGCAGAATCAGCTACACAGAGATAAAAGCAGAGTATGGAAGTAGAACAAAAATTTACAAATTAAAGTAAGACACTAGCGGAAGTTTAGAATTCGTCTAGATATTCGTGGTAAATTTTCCCCTTCAGTAAGTATCAGCAAAGTTTTCTAAAAACTATACTCAGTATTCGCTTATTGAATGGAACAGCAAGAAAATTTACTAACTCGGGTTGCCAAATTTTTTAGAAATTAAAAGAAAAATTGTATTAATTTTTTAATTTCTTTTTATTTATATATTTATTTTTTTTATTTCTCTTTTTTTTCTTTGTAATTTTTAAGGCCTATTAAAGAATTTTTCTTACATGAAAATTTGGTTAGAGAGAAGTAATAACAATAAAATTTGTTAAAATTTAGTTTACAATATTTATTTTTTATAAATCAGCTTCCATCTGTTCTTTAAAATTGATAGGATAGTATAGCTGTGGACCCAATCTCATCTCTCTGTGTAGAACCTCCTCCGCAATGTGATTGATCCTGGACCGCGTGGGACCTCTCAAAGGCTCATAGGTTAAGTTGTGATTTAACCGCTTCTTAACCCCAACTTAACCCCCTGTCCCTTATCCTTTTAGCCCTAAGTAGCTGCATTAGTGTTTGTTTTCTTGTTGTTGTGCCGCCGCAGGAAGGCAGTGTGTTTCTGCGGTGTATCTACAGTGTATCCAGTGAGCAATACTAAGTATCGTACTTAAAGTTTAGACTTAGTAGCAGAACCAGAATGAGAATCAGAGTAGAGTAGGGGTGACAGTATGATTAATCATTGCGCAGACGAACCATGAATCATGTAGGAGTCCAGAGATGTTAGGGCGAAAGCCAAGAACACTTGAGAAACTGCTCAAGACTAAGCCGTAAGTTTTAGCATTGTAATCCAATCCCATTCGAACCCAAAGTCCAAAGTCCTCCACCTCCACTCTCTTGGATAACTTGAATAAACAGAAAAGTCTAAGCAGAAATGCCAAGCCAGAATAATGATTAATTAATTAAACTTGTTTTATTGAGTGCCGCCTCGGGGGAACCGAAACCGCTGCAGATTCTCCCGCTTCTCGGTTCTCGGCTACAGATACAGATACAAATGTCCATGGGGGCCCAAGAGAAATGACTTTGTACAAAGCCGTGAAATGAGTTGGATCCTGCACAATGGCCAACCGAAACTAATAGAGTTCGGTGATTAAGTTGACGCTGCAATTTGTTACCATAAATAAATAAATAAATCGGATGACCAAAAAACGGCGGGCGGTCGACCTAACCTGAACTTTGCTCCTTTGGTCGTCCTGCATTTTGCCGCCGTAAATCCTCGTGAGTTTGGTGGCGTGTGAATTTATCTTTATGCTCGTAAAACAAAAAGCACATGAAACGGAATCGGCCAAATAAACAGTGACGACAAAGGGGACGTGCTTCTAAAGGGACGAGTGCACGGAGAAAAAATCAAGGGCAGTCGTCAAAGCTAGAGGCTCCATCTAGCGGCCTTTTTATTTTTCGCTCATAACTTTTGATTGGATTGTCCGGTTTTAAAATTTTCTTCTACATTTCGATGGGTAATAATAAACTCAACAAAATGTCATTTAAACTTTTACAAAATCTGCAAAGATGTGGCCTTTCAAAAGTCATTTAAAGCGAAGTGACATATTTAAAATATTTTTTTATATATTTAGTTTAATAAATTGTTATAACTTAGATGAAATATGTCGGAGTATTTTTTCTCTGTGCACAAAAATAAAGTGGCACGGGGATAGATGTGCTGGCGACACTCGTAGCCAGAGCGAATGAATACGCCAACATTTTTCATGGCTCCATTCAGTGGCTTCCTCTCTTTTCCCCACTCCCCACTGTCCATTGCTCCAAGATCTGACGCATCAGGATTTATCCCCGCGCACTTTGTTGCCTCACTTGGCTCCCGCTTTTTGGTCCTTTTGGTCGGGGAGGTCAGGGGTCGCAGGTCGCGGGTCACAGGTCGTGCTCCGCTGCTTCCGCTCAATAAAACGAAGCTGGCTGTCTTTATATTTGCTTTATTACAGTTGGAGTACCTTTTGCCCGAAGGGCTGTCACAGCGGCGAAATGTTTATTTATTGCACATATTTGCCACAGCTGCTGCTCCCCTCAGCCCCTTTTGCATCCCAGCCATCCATCCATTTGCTCACGCTCCATCCAGCCGACGACAACATTTTGTGGCGTCGCAAAAGTTGCGCAAATATTAATTTTAATCAAGCTAATTAATATGGTCAAGTCGGAGCCGGAGACAGACCCTCGAAAAAAAAGAAGTGGAGACGGAACGACCAAACGAAATGAATAAAAATGGGTAGCATGTTCAGTGGGGAAATGGGGTTGCATTTTTCGGGTAGTTTGTCAATAATAAAATATTTAATCAGCTTGGATTGCGTGTATTGTTTATTATAATTAACCCCTAATAATTTATTTCATCCAACTCAAGGTTAAATTTTAATAATATGTAACCCTTACTCATTAGGCAATCGAAAGGGACTTAAAAAAAAAAATAATAAAATATTTAATCAGCTCGGAAGTGTGTTTATTGTTTAATATAAATATCCCCTGCCAATTTTGTATCCAACTCAAGGTTAATTTAAGTGATAGCTAACCCTTACTCACTCGGCGATCGAAGAGGATTTAAAAAAATATCTTTATAATAACAGTCTTTAAACTTCTTACCATAAAATTCATAAAAATTAACAGAATTTTCTAATTATTTCCCCTGGGACTGCAAGCCCCCTGAAATTCATCTCCGCCTACGCCACTGGCCGTGTTTTTCGCCGGCATTGACAAATGGCCAGCTGGGTCAACAGGTTGAGCCCACGCACAAAAAAGGGCAGCACACATTGTTCTGTGTTCCGGGAGCCCCGGTTTTTTCGGAGGGGCTCTCGTTCTGCGGTGGCTCTGCTCTGCGGTCGGTTCATTAAAGTTGAGCCCCCGGGCACAAAGCCCACTTAATTAGCACCCGCTCCAAAGGCAATTTACGCATGTATGCCAAAGTGCATTAAGTGAGCAGATCTCTCCTGATGCGAGGGTGTCTCTGCGGGCCACGCGCCGATTCGCGCTAATTATTCAGGATTATCATTGGCAAAAGGCAGCCAACAATGATGCTCAAGGGTCTGCAATGATTCCCACGAGGCATCATCAGCCGTTCTTACAAACTCCTGCACTTTATTTACCTTTGGCATAAAGCGCTCGAGTTTATTCCCCCGTTCTGCTCGAAGGTGGCACATAAAACGGCACTAAGTTATTTTCAATCAATAAAAACAACATAAACAAAAAGCAAGCTGTAAAAAATACACTCAAGTGCGAGAGCACACACACGTGCCCCTCTGCCAGCAAAAAAAAAGTAAAGGGAAAAGGGAAGGGAAATGAAAGGAAACCACTGTGCTCCCAATTTGCCAATAAATTTGCCTGCCATGCACTGCCTGTAATTCAAAGAAGCGAGTGAACTGAAACAGCAACACATAACAAGCCAGCTTTGTGATGGAAAGGAATGAGCGGGGAAAATTGGGGAATTTTCCGGGGAAGGGGGAAAAGCCAAAGCCAGGCGATGCCGAAATGTTGGCCAAAAAGTTTTCCCTCCTCTGGCCTTTCGTTTCAACTTTTCTTTTCGGTACGTGGCTGCTGTCAGCGCTGGAAATGACAAAATATGTTCGCCCACAGGTTGGGATCTCTTCTGGGCCTCATCCCACGACTTTTCTGCTTAATCAGGCATAAAAACATCCACGTTAAACATTTTCCGCACTGATGACAATTCGCACTTTTAATTGAGATGCGTGCACTGAGGCTAACAGGTAAATTGTATTGTAAAAGTTAAGTTAAAATTAAAATCTTTTAAAAAGGTGTCTAAATGTATGCAACAATATATTTTGAATATGGAACTTCCATTCTTTTATTTTAGACACCTTTAGAAGTGATTTTTTCGTTAAAAACTTTTATTGAATACTTTTAGACACTTTTATAAGTTATTTTTTCGCTAGACAACTTTTATTTTATTTTTATTCGCACTGACACCTTAATAAGATATTTTATAATCCCAGTAATAGGTTATTTAGCAACCCATTTTTTTTAAATATTTCTTTGTTCACTGGCTTTTATTGCAGTGATGTTGAATTAAAAGGTGCCAGGCCATAAGCCTTCTAATTGGTTATCTCTGGGGGAATCGCGGCGAAGGAATCACAGCCGAACGACAACGGGAAAGTGGGAAAAGTGGGAAATGGTAAACGAGTAGCGGAAAACGGATTTCTAGCCCAGTGAGCGGCTGATTGAAAATTTCCAAGCGGCAGGGAAAGCGAGGGGAAATGTAGAGGGGCGCGTGTTTTCATGCAAATTCCACCGACAGATACAATCAGAGTCAGCGAAATGGCGAGTGGTTGAGCTGTTGCCATTCAAGTCATGATTGCAATTTATTATAAGCGAGCTGTAAACAATGCAGGGAAAAATCTTCGCAGTTATTGTCGCGACAACTGAGAAAGACAGGAAACAGCTGCCAGAAGGAGTCGAAATGGGAATGTGGATCTGGATGAAGATGAGGATGCACTCACATGTTCAGTTACCATGGGAAATTACGCGAGTGGCATGCCAGCACTCACACACGCGCACGTCTGCCAAAGAAATAACATAATGTTGTTGACATACTGCACACGCACACACACACAGCCACGTAAAGCCAACTAGAAGCGGAAACGGAAGTAGCAACATGGCGACAGATGAGAAAGAGAAAGTCGAGGCTGCCAACTGATTGCTATGGATGGCAGCAAATGAGGGGGGAGGTGCTCGAAGATGGAGGAGCAACTGGAAAGACCAAGTTTGGGAACCCCAAAATTCAAATACCCTAGCAATGGTACTCACTTCGGTCCTTAGTCCTAATTATTCTTAAAAAATCACAGTGCTGTGACCAAAACTATGTAAAACATAGTTCAAATATGGAATGCCATACCTTGTTGGATTCGTAATTAAATTCTCTATCGATTGACATTTAAATCTAGAAATTTTAATTTTTGATGATTTTTTGCAAAAAATTATGATGGTACCCCTTATCAAATTTTCAAAAATTGAAAATTTTTTTTATTTCTTATTTTGTTTCAAAAGTGATGAGGATCATTAGCTTATATGATAAGCTGCGCAAAACAGTTGTTCTTTCAACTATGACACTCTATTTAGCCAAGTTACGAAAAAACGAAAACCATCAAATTTTGACACTAATTTGTTTCATATAATTTTCCACCGAAACTAAATATTTTTACACA